GAGCTTCAGGTCTTGGTCGTTGAGGGCAAAGATCTTTAAATCGTCAATGAATAAAAAAGGATTGCTCTCAAGCATATTTTGACCAGCTTTAATTATTACTTTGAGATAGGCTTGTTTGCTGGTTTCTCTTGATATTGTTTCAAAACACATTACAAACAAAAGAGGCGATAAGCTATCCCCTTGTAGTACGCCTTTCTAAATCTTATTGTTTTCAAACTCTTTCTGCAGTGGATTCAACTCAATTCTAATAAACCAATAGTTTAATCACAGTTTCCACGCCAATAAAGATATATACATTCCTTTGCACCATTTCTTCTGTCTTATCCTGCCATGTGACAGGACTTCCCAGTAGATGGTTGGTGCTCCAAAATAACTACCCCTAGGCCTGTATATAAATTTTTCACTCTCTGATGTGTCAATTTTAAAAATTAACATGCAGTTTTAACATTAATATCAAAATCACACATTAGATTATTGCTAGAAATTAACAAACTGACATTTTGTGACAAAAATAACTCTGGGATATTCGTATGTTTTTAAAATATAATATCGGTAAACACGTATAACATCAGTGAATGCTATTTAACCTTGTAACTAAACCTAAACTCTTTAATTTTTAAAAGGAAAATTTATATATGAAAACGTTTATTCCTTTTTTTATTATTGAGGTGAGGGTTTTAAAAGTTGTGAAAAAAGTAAATATATAAATAACGAAAACACGTGCGCGCTAGTTTTAAGAATATTCAGTAATGTTTATTGCGCTCAAACAGCAGCATTCCTGTCAGAAAAGAACTAAATTTATAAAATTCAAAATAAGGCTTATTCTGGATTTAATGAGTTTTTATTTATCCAATATTTCGATGGACCCATCATCCATCTTTTACGAGGTTTTATTGGATAAATAAAAACTCTTATTAAATCCGAAATAAACTTATTTTTAAAACATAGATATTATGGATTGCTCTATATTCAGAATAAATGTATAAATGTTCTATAGAAACTCTCTTATTAGTTTTTCTCTCTCTCTGAACTTTTCTTAACGCCCTGAGATACTCATCTCAAATCAACGGGAGAATTTTAGACAGAAAGTATTCCTGTAAATAACACTGTGTTGACCCTTTGATTATCAGCGAAATAGAGTTTTCATATTTGCTAAAATATTTTCATTAATAATAATATTGCACAAAAATGAATACGCATATTTGTCACATATTTTTTGTTAATATTAACATTTATATAATATATAGTTAATATAAAATGAAAGGATTTAAAAGCACGAATGTAATTCTACTGTCCTATAAGCTTATGTCCATAGTTTTCTTGAAAATCATTTCTGAGATTCCATCCTTCAGTGCTGCGTATATAAGCAGAATCGTCCAATACAGTATTAGAGCTCTGAGAAGCGGTCTGGTGGATTAAATTGGCGAAACCGCTAGGAGGGTTCACCACTGATTAGCCAAGCCCTCCCAATATATTTTTTCATCGCAGTAAGGGCAGTAGAAGTTTGTATTATGTATAAAAGAAACATTCGTGCTTTTAAATCCTTTCATTTTATATGTATAGATGGCGCGTTATTGCTTTGTATTATATAGTTAATAATTATAATGAAAAATGTTTCACATCAAGTCTAGTACACATAATGCTTATTTAAAATACACACACAAGTCTCTAATAAGAAAAATTCCAGCTTTAGAAGCATCAAAAAGCGCCCCGTGTAGCACGCGCACTCTTCCAAGAGAAGATAAAAGGTCAATGAAAGTCGTCAGGAACAAGCTCAATTCCCCCATCACCTCAACCAGAATAGATGGGAATTGAATAGACGATGAATTAACAACTTAAAACACCCTCTTCTTAAAATAAAAAGTGCCGAGCAAAAAGAAAACAAAAGATTACAAGGAAGAAGTAATGAGACAAGAAAAATGTCCCAAAATTAAAATATATAAAAACCTCGGGAAGGCTGCCAACATTTTATTAAACCTAAGAAGTGGGAGTTAAGTAGAAAAATGTATTTTTAATATTGGCTTGAAAAAACAGAGCGGGTCATAATGATGCATCAATCGCTCTTAAATGATTTTTAAAAAGAGGGGTTGTAATCGGACGTTGTCAAATGATTGTTGCCAATTCTCACTTTTTTTACTTTTTTTGCCACTTAAAAAATGAATTTCCCTCTCATGCCTCATTTCCTGGCCGATGACCCCCTTGTTTACTTCCCTCCATGCCTACACTTTCTATGGTCTCTTCTTTCTCAGCCTCTTTGTTTGCCCTCGTTTGAGGCGACCATATATTGTTACTGCTAAGCTTTTATTGATAAATAGTTGCTCTTTCACAAACAACTACATGAAATTGATTATTAATAAATACATGGTAATATAGAAAATGAAGAAAGACAAAGCTTAAAGATAACACAGCAATATTTTTTAGGCAAGAACAACTTAACATTTATCAACTTGGGTAGTTGAAAGGTAATGAAGGAAGTTTACAGAGTAGTAGTACAGTTTTGTCCATGAGTGTATTTAAGACTTAGCTTCCAAATAGTTGTCAGTTAAATTGTGCTCGGCTTCCAAAGCTCAACTTTGAAACTTAGGGTGACAAAGAGAATGTGGCTGCACCAGTCTGTCTATCTGGAGATATTCCCGCCCATAAAACTATCATAAATTATGATATCCTGCTGCTGCCAGGTGTGTTGACTTCTGCGCCCTGAGATTAGGCGGGATTAGTCCCCTGCGGAGGCTTGCACGTCGATTGAAGGTGACAAAAGGTTTGTCTTTTATTAGCATCTATGAATTATTGATAATAGCCCACTTCCGCGGCGATGGACCCGCGCCCCGCACTAATCCCTTGGGACTCCCACCGTCCCCCTCCTAGACAAAATTCTTGACATAAAAAGAACTAAGTTGCTCGAGGGAAAGTCAAAAGCCGCGCGGAGCAACTAAATGGGAAAAAGTTCCGTTGTCAATCGTATCGGCTTAAGAAGTGTTTAGGTTCCAATTGTTTGGCTCAAAAGGCCCACCACCTCTAAAGAAAGTCTTGCAGTTGATTCCAGATTAGAGTGGTAGGGAAATATCCCCCCTTCACCTTCCTGATGTTGTCAAGTTTCCTTTTATATTTAGTGCTACTGTGGAGCATGCTTTTTTAAAGAAATCAGATTTTTTAGTTTTCTATTTTAATTAAAATAAAAATAACTCCATATATGCATTAATTTCGACGTCTATATTAAATTGAAATAAAAGTTTGAATAAAAAATATGTTTAAAATGCCATTTTACAAACGCAAATATAGGCAAGACAATAGTAAATATTGTTTTGAGCGAATATCCATTTTAGTGTACCTATATTTCTTAATTTATTTACCTTAAGATGAAGACAAACCACAATTTCTTAATTATTACAGAAAGTGTATCGAGGTATTTGAATACTACAAAATCACACCAGTAAAAAAGACGATGGCTTTACTCTAATCAGTTTGTGCTTTTGAGAATTTTAAAGTTGAACGTTTATAAATGTATATACACAAAAGGTTATTAAATAATAGGACCACCATATATAGAGTATAATGCGCATATAGCATTTATGATAATAAAAAATAAAGCTCGAAAGCAGCGCTAAAACGTTTGCGCTTTCACATCTTCCTTTCGGAATCTCCTTTATCCAAACTTTCGGGTATAGATAATAGAAAGTATCCCATCCCTAAAGCGGACATATAGCCTATTATATCTTCATAATCTTAAATGTTCTTTGAGATAAAGGAAATTACGAAAGCTAAATAAGAGTTTTAGTGCTATTTTATAGTGCTTTATTTTTATAGCAAAAGTTATTAAGAAAATATTCAAGAGAGATGAGTTCTTTATATAAGATAAAGATAGTATATACTGTGCTAAAAGTCGATATTATAACTGAGCGTGTTGATTTTTATATATTTTCGTTTATTAGGCAAATAATTTTATTGACTCAACAAAAAATACAACCACGTACGCGTTTCTGCTGAAATACGATTGATAATTGATATAATATAGAGAATAATATTAAGTTTTAGGATAATAAAAATGATTTTTTATCGGCAATAACAAAAGCATATCAATTCGGAAACAAAGTTTCATTCGAAAAAGAAGTCGAAAATGGAAATATGCACTAAGTATGAGATGCATGCAGTGATATGCTTTCTTAAGAAAGAAGGGATTAGATCCTGTGCTATTTATAAAATAATGTCTAAAGTTTGTGGTATCAACTGTTTATAAAAGAGCGAATCTATAAATTGACACAACAGTTCAAGAAGGTGTCGAAGAACTGCCTGATTACCAGCATCCATTAGGGTTACTACTAACGTTAACAATTTCTCTCTTTTTTTTTTTTGTATAGGCAAGAGTGTTTAATGCAATATCATTTTATAAAAATTTTAAAAGAATGATAATGGAGTGTGTATGGAGTATTTTGGAAATAATTTGAAATCTACAATTAAAACAAAACGTAGTCAAACCTTATCTAAAAATAGTAATTGTTCAACTAGCTAACGTTAGACTACATAGTTCAAAGTTTACGCTGGACAAAATTGGGGTTTGTAATTCAAAATTTTGGATCATTCAGTGCATTACCCAGATATATTCCTAAGTGATTATTTTGCCTTGACCACTTAAAGGAATTTTGAAGATACGAATCTTTAGGTCTGATAAGGGACTCTGTTAGGCGGGATATTCATAACTCGATGAAAAGTTTTAAAATGCTTAGTCTAAAGGTACTTACAAACATTTTAAACTTTGAAATCTGTGTATAAGTAGATCAAGGAATTTTATTCAAGAATAACATATGTGCATATTTATTCTGTGATATATATAATATAATGTGGCTTGTGATTGTAAAACGACATTTGAAAATTATCCCGCGTGTGTTTCTTTTAAACGAAAAATCAAAATTTATTTAAGGAGAAATAACGATTATTTCTAACCTTAGGGATGAGGTATGAAAGGATGAATTGTGAAGAGTAATGATAAACGGAAAAATAAAAGTGTCCAGGGATAGGTAGCCTAGTGGACATGGCATCTGTCCGGTAAGCGGAACACTGTGGGTTCGATTCCCATCCCTGGACAATTTTATTTTTCCGTTTATCATTACTCTTCACAATTCATCCATTCATACCTCATCCCTAATGTTAGAAATAATCGTTATTTCTCCTTAAAATAAATTTTGATTTTTCGTTTAAAAGAAACACACGCGGGATAATTTTCAAGTGTCGTTTTACAATATATATATTGTCACGTAGAAATTAGGAAAGACAAACATCAGAATTACACGGCAATTCATTTTGTTTGTGTTTGCGATTCAAAACAAATTATAACTTATAAAATACCAGATATATAAAGAGGTAATTTTATAGAGTATCAAAATATAATGAAAAAAATGTTAATATTTTCATAAAATAATAAATATTTTGCTACAATATTAATATATGCTTCTATTTCATATTTATAAAATAGAGTAACTTTTGTAACAATTTTTACATTGAATTGAGGATCTTCAAATTGATATTTCCTTTTATGGTTGCAAGTTATCATATATACGTAGTTTAGTGATGATCCAAGAAGAGAGCGCTATGACATGATTGATATATGATATGTCACTTTGCTACAATATGAAAACGAAACCGCCCCTCTACTAAAAAATCAAATGCATTGTTTTAAAGCATTTTTGAAGAGAGAGAGAGAGAGATGTGCCACTTTTAATACATGAATATCATTCGCCAGCAACTTTATGTCATTAAAGCAATAATTTATAGATTTTCACACAACCACTCTAAAAACAGCACTTAGATAAAATGTGGCATGATCAAATAACGAAATCAAACATTCTAGTAAAAACACGCTTTATAAAAATAAAACGGGAATTGAAGAGGAGTATCTTGTGCGAATTTTATTAGCAAGCTTTCGGACGTCCTTCTACAGGCTTTTTTCGATCTGATCGACCTGATCGAAAAAAGCCTGTAGAAGGACGTCCGAAAGCTTGCTAATAAAATTCGCACAAGATACTCCTCTTCAATTTACGTTTTTATTTTTCTATTTTAACTCGAAGAGTTTATTTTAGTCAAAAACACGATTTATCCACTAATAGCTGATGTCTACTAACTACAACTAAAATCGCTTTGACACTCTTTAGACACTCTTCTATACCCTACTTCAATTGGTTTACTCTCAACCAATGGCACAATAATTATTCACAGGATTGCGCAGGACAGAGAAAGTTGAAGGAACAACATCCATGCCAACCAGATTATAAAATTCCCCATTTTTAATACAAATTTATAAGGTTAATGGTTATGATTGAGATCGTAATGAAATTTTATTTTTCATCAGGTTTGTTTAGTGAAAATTTAGGTCATTTTAAATCAAATAGAGATTATTGGAGCGATTTTTTTTTTCTATTCAGTTCCAGTTCAAGATTATACAATTTTTTAGATACCGCTCTGAAATAAAAATCTATAGATAATTAAATGTAAATATACTTTTATTTTACAAGGAGCAATAACAACGACAAATATCTTGGCATATTGTCCAACACACACGTAGAAAAATTAGGAAAGACAAACGCTAGGATGATAAGGCGATTTAGCTTATCCAAAACACAATGAATACTTATTCATATGAAAGAATTTTTTTCCTTATCCCTAGTACACGTGATACAGGCCATGATAATCATGGTGGGTTAAGTAGGCGACTGCTTTAACTGTAAGTGCACCACATGTCTACACATGTGAAAAGCAGTTCGACTTTGCACTTACAAATGTGCCATAGCTCCGTTTGGTTACTTGCACTCGCTGGTGGGGTTGGACTTTTGCAAGAATCGGGAGCCATTGGAGCATTTTTTTTTTAATCAGAAAAAAGTTCCCAATGTGGGAATCGAACCCGGGTCGTAGCTGTCCAAAAACCAACAGTTTGGACCATCCTTCCACCGACCCCCGTATATGAAAGAATAGAAAGGCGCAATGAGATAGATTTGTTATTAAGCAGATTATTGAAATCATATATATTATAATATATCTTAAATATTGAGCAATCCATATGAAATTATTAATTGAATAGCATATTTTGGATCAAAAATAAAATAAACATTTTATTTAATATAAATGCCAATATTTCATTAGGCTATACGCCTAACTTCGTCAGGGCTTTTCTTGTTTTTGAACTGCTTTGGTTCATCACGTGATGCCTTCACGCGACGATATATAAATATTTGCAACTCTGTGGGGATAAAATTTAAAATATATACACACAAAAATTTATTATACTTATTAGGAATCATATATTATTTTTTAATTTTTTATAAATGTACATATATAGTCTATTCTTATTAATATTTTTTGTGTGTATATATTTTAAATTTTATCCCCACAGAGTTGCAAATATTTATATATCGTCGCGTGAAGGCATCACGTGATGAACCAAAGCAGTTCAAAAACAAGAAAAGCCCTGACGAAGTTAGGCGTATAGCCTAATGAAATATTGGCATTTATATTAAATAAAATGTTTATTTTATTTTTGATCCAAAATATGCTATTCAATTAATTATAATATATATATTTAAAATAAAAGGCATATCCTGACCGCTCACCTGATAAATCAAGAAAAGTCAAACACGTACGCGTTTCGGGTTGTTAGTCCTCGTCATCGTGTTGCAGACTGATGTGAGCGGTCAGGGGATATGCCTTTTTAAAATTATTTTTATTATTGTAATTATTTTTCAAATTACTTGTGGCCGGGATCGAGTATTATTTCGTAGCTTATTATGTGACGAGTGTTGCACAAAAGAGGGCAATTTATTTTTGTCTTAAGTGGCAAAAAGAAGAGAGGGTACGAAATAATAATGTCACTTACTTCTCCCGAAATGCCAGTGGAAGCAATTGGGTTGAGATAGGGGATAAAATTAGGAACCACTTTGATCCTAAACCAAATGTAATAGTACAGAAATTTAAATTCACAAAAGAACATCAGAAGTCTAATAAGACTATAGCGTAATATTTATAGCAGCTATAAAAAGTTACCAAAGCACTAGGAATTATTACAAGATCTTTAAGACAGATTACGAGATGCATTAATGTGTAGTATCATAATTTTTCTACTAATGGACAGAAAGTTGACTTTTTAACCCCCCCCCCCCCCCCCCCCCCCAAAAAAAAAAAACACAATTTATACATAAAAGACTATGTTACAGATTATATATGTTGATGAGATGTGATATATTTAATACTAGCAAATTTAGCGCGCCTTACGTCGCTCTAATAAAAGAAATTAAAGCACATACAATCCTGCCTTCTTCACAGACATAATAACATTTATGAAGAAAATCACACAAACAAAAAAACAATTGAGCTATATATTAATTAATATAATAAAGAGAAACGGTCATTCTTTTTTCTTTATATATATAGGTTTTGCAACTTTAAGACATTTATAAGAGACAACAATAAAAAACAATAATATAAGACAGCACAATTTAATTTTTTACTTTAACAACATTTTCATTTTTAGATTTTCTTTGAAACTCTAACATCAATATGTTTTCGTTATTGAAAAACCTTAATCAGAAATAACATTATTTTAGAGTACTGTTTTAGTTTTGTTAAGGTCCTTTTAATTTAATTTAAAAAGCACCTTTTTGATAACATTCTAATATTTTAATAATTTAATAATATTATTTAATAATTTAATAATTTATAATTATATTATATAATTTATATTATATTAATTATATTATATATACTATTTTATTTAGTGTGTACTCTCAGTTGTACTCTCACGGCATAATATCAACATTTTATAGTATAGTGTAAAAATGTATAGTGTAAAAATGCAAAAAAAACGGTACACTATAATATAACACTATATACACTTATAATATAACAATGTGATGTAATTTTATTCTATTTTATTTATTTATTATTCTATTTTATTTTGAGCGTCTATTTTGAATATTCACTAAATATCAACTGAATATTAACTAAATATCGAATAAAGAATATAAATTAATATTATTATAATATATATATTCATTATAATATTATTATAAGCAATATTAAAATAGCCAATTTCGGGCGTAATTAAATATTAAGAGAGTAGTTGGGGAACAGACATACATACAGACAATTAATAATACAGATAATTAGATATTATAGATAATCTTAAAATATAAAAAATAGGAAAAATAAAAGTTAAAAATGAAAAATGTTAAATGTAAAATTAAAAATGATTTACTAAAATGAAAAAGTACGCATTTAAAGTGCAAATTATTTATTATATTTATTTATATATATTTATTTATATATATATATATATTTATATATATTTATATATTATTATATTTATTATTTTTAAATATTTATTATTTAAATTATTCAAATATCAAATTATTTCGTTTTATTTCAATCAATGGCCGAGCGTGTCGCTAACGTCGAGCTTAACGTCGAGCTAAATGCGTATTTTTGCTAACGGCGTTATTTTTAAAAGTTTAAATATAATTTTGAAGTTACCTGAATAATTCCGGGACTAAATGTAATATGTATACGAAATATTGTCGTATAAAATAAAATATTAAGAGAGGAGTTAGGGAACAAACATCCAAACATCCAAACATCCAGACATTTTTTGCGCTTTAATAATAAGATTACATGCAATAGCGTTTAATGGTCCTGTTGTGTACACTTTTAGATTGGTGCACTATGATGTTGGTTCGTTTGGATTAAGTGGTCTCAAGCAAAGGTGACAATATATATATTTAAAGAGGATCAACGCTGTATACAAAAGCAAAGCTAAAATCGAATAAAACAACTGGTTTTCTTTTTCCCGTAGATTACATAAGGCCTAGCGAAGAAGTACGTCCATCTCATCAAGCAAGCCGTGCGCTCTACTCTACCAGCCTCACTACGACTACTACGACGACAACTGCCTACTACCCTCCTGCTGCGACAACATCGCCTTTTATATAGGCAAAAAATAAAACAATAGAAAAATGCAAAATAGCTATTTACATAAATATAAAATACAAATTACATCTACATAACTACCCAACATTCCTCCCACCAATTTAATTGATATAAATT